AATAATTATGCTGGTGTCTGACTAACTCAGCACTTACAACAGGTAAAACATAGAGTGCCAAGTTACATTCATAAATCCGTTAATGAACTAAATGTGTAAATAACACGTAGTTTAACTCATTTAAAGATCTATGGTGGGAGATACAATAACTAGCAAACCTAGGGTTTGACTTTCTTGGATTTAAGGATAAACAATATAAATTGATGATTGAAGGGGTTCTAAAATAAAAATGATGGGTCAAGTATGTGATAGTAATATGACATAGATGCATGAAATAATGAAGTGATATAAGGTACATTAAATGGCCTTTGTGACACAAACATTTTGGTATCTTTGGCCATTATATAATTGTCAAATCATTACAAAGAGATTCAAAATACTTTTTAATTACTCTTAGTATAAGCAATGTTTTCTCAGTGAAATCTCTGCAGATGAAGACTTTACCGAAATATCTGGCACCGGTTGAATGTGTTAATATTCTTTGTTCTTTGCTTAGAAAAATAATAATAATAGAGCTGGCACTTTTAATGCCCTCGAGGCATAACAATCAATATTTTAATAAAGGTAATTTACTTTGGGCATCTATGATAAGCATAATCAGAAGATAAACAACTTGCTTGGGACATTTCCAGACAGAGAATTTGTCAGACAGAAGCAGTGATAATTCTATTGAAAACCTCAAAGCTAATGTTACATGGGTAAATGCCTTTAGAGTACATTAAAAAAGAAAAAAGTGAAACATTGTTCTGTATGTAACTTAAAAATATCTAACAATTAAATCCATTCGTTAATTAAATTTGCACGTGTGATCTATCTCTGTTGTGATGCTTACAAGAGCACACCATCAATTTTTGTCTTGAAAAATGTGGTCAATTTTTGAATGGAAAATTGTGAAAACAAGGCAAGTGGCTGAAGAATAAGCATAGTTGAACCAATGGTAGAAATTGGTGGGACATGGCCAAACCTAGATCTAATCCTTTGTCATGTCAAATCACCCACTATCAAAAATGTGCAATGTTGGGGCGTGGCTTGCCGCCGGAGCTGAGCGGACGCATGTAGGAGCAGCTCCCTGCACAGAAACCAGAACGGGCAATAAATAAGCGGTATACCGAGCAATGCTCATACCAATTACCGGGGGCTCATGTGCGCAATGGCTCACAGACCCAAATCCAAAACGGGGAAATCGGAACGAGCCTCCTTTTTCGGTGCGAAAATCGCGGCCTCCAAACAGCATGAGGGAGAAGAGCCTGTACAAGATGGTGGCGACCCGGGACCGCAGGAACACTCCCTTTCACCTCGCTCATCTCCCATACAGAGCGCAGAGGATCAACCACTTACAGTGAGGGGAATGCGTTCACTAATGTCAGAATTCTCAGACACCATACAGAAAAACATGCAGCTGCAAATACAAGCTATGACAGCAGACTTACAGAAGGATATACAAGATATTGGGACTCGCACAGCTCAAATGGAGTCTAAGATGGACGAATATGCGGAGGCACACAACAGCTTGGCAGATAAACTCCAGGAATTTGAAGTAAGTCTGGAAGCACACAGGCTAAAACTGGCTGACATAGAAGACAGGGCGAGGAGAAACAATCTCCGGTTCAGGGGAATCCCGGAAACCGTTACCAACGCCGAACTGCACAATTACTTGTCAGACATGTTCCAGTGCCTGGCCCCAGAAATTCATCCAGACCAATTGATTATAGACAGAGCACACAGGCTACGCAGGCCGAAACACCTGCCGCAAACGGCTGAGAGAGATGTAATTGCCAGGATACATTTTTTCCACGCAAAAGACAAGCTCATGCGAGTCAGCAGGAATTCGGGCATGCCGAAAGAATACAGCACCATCAGAATCTTCGCGGACCTGTCAGCAGATACGCTGCAGTTCAGGAAGTCAATGTCGCCGATCACCTCCATTCTACGTGAGCACAACCTGAGCTACCGATGGGGATTCCCTGCTAAGCTTTTGATCTCCCATCAAGGAGTGATACATTCTATTACCAACCTGAAGCAAGGTATCCAGAAAATGGGTGACTGGGGGCTCCCTACGCCGACACCAGAACCAGCTAAGACAACAGCGATGCCAAGGAAGTCGCCAGAATGGACTGTAAAATGAAAAGACTGGTAACCTCCGGTAGTATACGTAACTAAACATGCCCTATAGGGCAAGCCTAGATGTTATATTATTAGTTCATATTAGAGATAGTTAAGTTTACCGCATAAATGTAGCGGGTACAGAATGGTTTCCTTAAACTAAGCAGCAAGGATTGCTGCCTAGAGTATGACGCTGCCCACCAAGCCTTTAATAGCCCTCTCACGGGGGCACGAGCACAAATGTTGACAAACTGTAGAATGATACTGTGTAGAGTGGCTGAGTTTAGTTAGTTGTTAAGCTACTTCGAAGTTTTGTGTTTATTTTTAATGACTTACTGATAGTATAACTATGCGTACGACTGCCCCTCTGGTTTCATGGTGATAGTTCACTATGAGTAGAAACTTCACCTCCACTACCCCCACCAGACGTACTTACTCAATAAGTAAGGTCACACGGCCCCACATCTTGGAACCGAGTTGGGTGTGTCACCCACCAGTTCTCCCCAACCCACCCTGCCCACCTACTTACCCTTCGCCTCACCCTACACCAGCTCCCCCTAGTCACGATCCATACAGCTCAAAAAAACAACGACATAGCAGATGCGTACTGCTGGAGTACGTCACTGTTTTTACGCCTCCTACGGTACCAATGACCAGGACTAAAAGTGCCCCTAACTTACCTACTCCACAATGGTTAAAATTCTAACATACAATGTAAAAGGACTAAACTCCCCGGGGAAGCGTAGGCTACTACTGCAGGATCTTAAGAAAGGCGAGATAGATATAGCGTGTGTTCAGGAAACGCACTTCATGAAAACTCGAACCCCTTCAATTTTCACTAAACTATATCCCACACAGTACCATGCCCTCTCAGACAACAAGACAAAATGAGTTTCCATCCTCATACACAAAGACATAGCGTTCCAGGAGCAAGCAATTTCTATAGACACCCAGGGAAGGTATATTGTTCTTGAGGGTTTATTCAATAATGTTCATTACACGCTGTCCTCGGTATATTTCCCCAACACTGGAGCGGAGAGGTTCCTAAGACACATACTTAATGAAATAGATAAACTGAGTCAGGGAGGATTGGTGATGTGTGGAGACTTTAACTTCATAACGTCTCCGGACATAGACTCAACCGCTACCCTGAAGGGGACTAGGCGAGCGAGTTTAGTTTCCACGAGCAAGAAACTGTCCAAAATACTTTTACTACACAATCTATACGATAGTTAGAGAGTACTTCACCCTAACGAACGAGATTACTCATTTCACACTGGCGCAGATCTCAGGGTGTGTTATGGGAGACATAACTTGGTCGGACCATAGTCCAGTGACCCTGGAGTTGTATGACAAGTTTCAGTTCAAAGGTAGAGGGAATTGGAGACTAAATGAATCCTTACTAAAGGATAAAACCTTTGTAGATCAAGTGGCAGTAGAACTCTCCCATTACTTCCAAACAAACTCTGAGGGGGAGACCCCTGATGTCATGGTATGGTCGGCACACAAAGCTGTAGTAAGAGGCCTGTTTATTAGACGCTCCTCATATCTTAAAAAGAAAAACAAACAATTGACTATAATGGACTGCCAAAAACAACTGGCAATTATCACTGCCCAAAATAAGCAGGCACCTTCACACACTCTCGCACAACAAATCCAAACCCTAACGGACAAACTTACCGAAATGCACGCAGCCAAAACGTCCTACTTCCTACTTAAAATGAAAGCGACTCATTACCACCACAGTGGGAAAGCTAATAAACAATTAGCTAATAGGCTGAGAGAGAAATTGGCGGCCGCCAAAGTGGCATACATACAGGGCCCGGACGGCACCAAAATACAAAACCCATTAGATATTACTCAGGAGTTTGCAAAATACTACTCCGACCTGTACAATCTAGGAGACAAACCCGAAATCCCCCCCCATACAAGACGACAACATTACGGAGTTTCTGTCCCACCTTAACCTCCCACAAATTAATCAATCCCACTTGGATTTATTACTCCAACCTATTACACTGAGGGAAGTGCTCCATACGATACAACACCTTCCCCCAGGCAAATCCCCAGGAGCAGATGGCCTCCCCAACCTGTATTACAAGACATTTGCGGAGGTACTGGGTCCCAGATTAGTGAAAGTATTCCAGGTAGCCACAGAGAAAGGGGAGCTTCCTCCCGAAATGCTACTAGCGACCATAGTTACGTTGCCAAAGCCAGGAAAGCCCCCAGATCAATGTAAGAATTTCAGGCCAATATCACTGCTAAATACGGATGCTAAGATATACGCAAAGATCTTGGCCTCCAGATTGGGCAAAATACTACCCTCAATCATCCATGACGACCAAACGGGGTTTGTGATGGGGAGGCAGGGGCTCGATAATACCCGGAAACTGTCCCTGCTCATGGAGCAGATGCGGAGGTCTGGCCCAGGTGGGTTGCTCTTAGCATTAGATGCTGAAAAAGCGTTCGACCGCCTGGGCTGGCCCTTCCTACGGCAAGTTCTCTCAGTGTTTGGATTCCCACAACAGTTCATTCAACAAGTATTCGCTCTATACTGTCACCCTAGGGCCCAGGTACTACTGGCGGGATTTAAATCAGATCCATTCAAAATTACGAATGGCACCCGACCGGGGTGCCCTTTGTCACCCCTGCTGCACGTGCTGGCCTTGGAGCCACTACTAGTTGCCATCAGATCACATCCAGACATAGAAGGCATCATCTGGCAGGACCAGCATATTAAGATCAGCGCATTTGCCGACGATATCCTGCTATATGTCTGCCAACCAGATAAATCCCTCCCTCACATCATGAATCTCATTGAAAAATATGGGGAACTCTCCTACTATTCCCTAAACGCAACCAAGACTCAGGCATTGGGGCTGCGCTTGGATCCACAGGTCCTAGCGCAACTACGCAAAGATTACCAATTCGAGTGGAGAAAAAAAGATATAAAATACTTAGGCCTGACGTTCACTAGGAAGACCTCTGACATGTTCCCTACCAACTACACCAGAGTCTGGACTGAGTGCTTGGCACTGTTACGGGGATGGGGCAAACTGTTCCTTACTTGGACGGAGCGCATTGTCGCAATTAAAATGACTGTATTACCGAAACTACAATATGTGTTTAGGAACCTTCCCTTGAAAGTTCCACAATCCTATTTTAAAACCATACAGTCTACGCTCCTCCAGTTTATCTGGGGCAAGAGACGGGCAAGGGTCTCTAGCAAACTATTGTCGGCCCCCATAGGGCATGGAGGAATGGCATTTCCGAATGTAAAATACTACTACCAGGCTGCGGTTCTGGCGCCCCTAATGAACCACCTAGCTAAAGATAACCGACCACAATGGGTGACCTTAGAAAACCTAGCTATTAAACCTTTCCTAGTCACCAAACTGTTATGGCTACCTAACAGGAGCAGGCCAACCATCCCGCTGATACCCCTACAACTTCAACTAGCACTGCAAACTTGGGACTTACACAGAACGAAGTTCGAAACGGCCCACCCCCTCTCAATGGCGACGCCCATCGAGGCCATCACGTACTGTATACCCACCTTTCATGCCACTCCATGGAAAGAGAAAGGTATCTCTTTCCTGTCCCAAGCCTTTGACCCAGGTGGACTGATGAGCTTCGAGCGTCTCAAAAGAACCTACAATATCCCACACACATCACAATACTCATACATCCAACTTACATCCTTCTTGCACAAACTCAACAAGGATAACAAGGTAGAATCTAATAACCAGGGGGAACCCTCAACCTGGGAACAAATAAGTATCGCGGGTAAAATTCCTCCAACTTATAAGCCACTCTCAAGTTGCTATAAACTAATTCTGCCATACCAGTCCCTATCTGGCTCAACACAGGCAAGCCAATGGGAAATGGACCTTCAGACCTCCATCACTGACAATCAGTGGAAAACCCTCACATCCTCCGTTAGGAAGCTGGTCAAATCTGCCTCCCTCATGGAGCAATACCAGAAAACAATATACAGGTGGTATATGGTGCCGCTTCGCTTACATAAATTGTATCCCCACTCGTCTTCGATGTGTTGGAGATGCAAACAAGAGGCGGGGTCAGTCCTTCACATATGGTGGCGTTGCCCACGATTAATTAGGTACTGGGGCGATGTCCAAAAACTCATTGCTGACACCACAAACGTCAAACTATCTCTTGAGCCCATAACCTTTTTGCTACTGGATGTCCCCAAGGAAGTACCCATACAGTCGAGAAAACTAATATATCATATCCTGCTGACCGCACAAAAACTAATAGCTAGATCCTGGAAGACAAATGGGGCCCCTAATATCCCAAACCTTATTCAGGATATAGATAACCAGGCAATTTATGAAACAAGTTTTTCTGGGATGCATTCTGGCTCAAGCCGCCTTGGAGGAGCTTGGGACCAATGGCGCACCTGGAGAACGGCTAACCCACAACTCCTAGTCTAGCAGCACGTTGTAACGACCCAAGAGCAAACTGCAGGCCTAAATGGGCACGCCAGGGCTAGGATAGTCAGGCAGTGAGGAGCTAAGAGACAGACAGAATAGCATAAATTGAGGCTGGAAAAGTGGCTAGCTGGTGCGACTACCACGGAGAGGACCCCGACTACTGTGTAAAAATGAATCAACGTACGCAACTGTAAGCAATGTAACTGTATAAACAATGTAAATGCATAACCCATCGTTAAACATGTGACTCATTGTATCGTGACTGTACTCCCTCCCCCCCCCCTCCATTCCTCCTCCTTTTTTCTGTAACCCTCTCCCCTTCCCCCCTCCCATTTACGCTTGTGGAAAACCAATAAACTACACATTTCAAAAAAAAAAATGTGCAATGTTGGGGAGTCAGTGCACAAAACCTTCAACTTTGGCTCTGACTCCTTAATATATGATACTGCCAACTCTGAATATGACTCTAATTATTGTAATTATATATTCAGTGGCGTACACACAATCCATGGGGCCTCGGTGCAAAACTAATCCGTGGTCCCCCCCGACCCTCTCCCCCCTGACCCTCTCCCCACCAATAGACACATACATACATACATACTCACAGATACATACATACACACATGCAGACACATACATACAGAGACACACACAGACAGAGACACAGACACACACATACACACATACAGAGACACACACACACATACAAAGACACAGATACACACATACATACACACATACAGAGACACAGACACACACATAAATACACACACACAGAGACAGAGACACACACATACATACACACACACACACACACAGAGACACAGACTTACATACAGATACACACACATACAGAGATACAGACACACACACACATACAGAGACACACACAGACACATACACATACATACACACACACATACGCAAAATGTTTCCTACCTTGTGTGACTTTCTCTGTGGTGGCTCAGCTTGATGGGAGTCAGAGTTCCCACTCTGACTCCCTCCTCCTTCCTGTTTCCTCCCACACGGGCTCTCTGTATGCTGGTAGGAGTGGCCGGGGAGTCACTTCCTCCCTGCAGTGATGTAATCACATGGGGCTCGGTTGCGCTGTTATAGCGCCCATGCGCAGACCGGGCCCCCTGATAATCCATCTCCATCAGGTGGCCCTGACAGCATGGGCCACCCGATGGACCCCTTAACATGCGTTGGCTTGCCACGTGGGCCAGGGCCGCAAAACGTGGAAGGTGGTACCTGGTCACGGGGGTCCGCAGGGCGGCTGAGCCCCCTCGAGTGCTGGGCCCGGTCGCAGCTGTGACCCCTGTGACCGCGGTACATACACCACTGTATATATTATATAAGGAGCCAGTACTACCAGAAATTGAAGCGTTAGAGTCAAAGGTTTTATATATTGTTATATATTGCCTACACAACCCTGAAATATATTACAAATAACACAATTTTCTTGACACCTTCATTACAGCTCATGGCTTCACCCTACTGAGAATCCACTAAACTGTATAGCAGATGGCACAGTGTCCCTTACTGTCCCCTGCCATAATCAGACATATCTTAGTAAACACAGTGAATTGGTAGTGATCAATTGCCATGAGCCCTCTACTCACAATTTTATAACTAGAAAAGCTACAATTTCTGGCGAAATTGTGTGGTGTTCTTGCGTCCACCAGTAGTCTACAACTGGAGTGGGCGGAGTAACTGTTATCATTTATATATCACATTTAATTGCAACGTTGTTGCACAGTTACATTAAACCATACATTTATAAAAACATTAGCAGGTGTTCAAAAGGCCCTGTCTATGACATCACTTGCTGCTGCAGCCTGGCACAGGTCAGAGTATCTTGGCGGTTGCCATCTACAAACGGTCGTATTTCCTACAGCGAAGAGCTTTATATTGTGAGAATCACAAGATCCAGACCTACATTTTGATGCATAGTATGTCTCTGAGGTATTAAAAATGAAGGCACAGTCGCAGTTTAGAAATTGCACTTCAAATTTGAGCTTTGTAGAGTGAAGTTTCAATGAATGTCAATGGACGGCGTTAGTTGCAAACAAATGATTATATTGTGAAAACTATCAGGACTATGGTTTAGCCGTTGACATGTTTAGTGGCAGCAGGGATAGCTGAACGTTTTGATATAAGATTTGTGTAGGTGGGCCTGAAAATAAGGGAGTGGTGGCAGTTTAGAAATCATGTCCTGATTTTTCAGCTTTTGCCAGCTCCCACTCTAGCTTTGCCATTCATTCCTATGGGACAAATTTCGCCACAAGAACGACGATATTCCGTGAACCATTCGGTGAAACGTTCCACAAAGTAATATCAATCCGATCGGGAACAATCTGCACGTTTTGTTAAATTTTGGTCTATGTAGTGTAAAAACTGTGGGAGGAGTTAGGGTGGCAAATTTGTCTATAATAAGAATAGGAATAAGAATATATATGTGAGATAACAATAAGTGGTCTTGCTATGCAAGAACACTTAAATAGGGAAGGGATAATAAAATATACTTAATGAAAAGAGGATGACAGGAGTGACCAGCTTCACACACACACGAACACGAACACATACACACATACACACATACACTCTCATAGTAAATAAAACTAGCCTTTCTACAAACAACCTTTATACACATACATGCATCCCACCATACATTCATACACAAATGCACTCATCCTATCACATGCATGTAGCATACACACATACAGCTTTTATCGTATGTGTAATACATAAAACAGACATGCAGGGCACCAGAGATGAGTCAAGCATCCCTGGAGACTGAATGGAGCAGCAGAAGACACTAGACAGAGTAAGAGGTGGTAAAATGAAATGAGAAAAGTAAAAATAAAAAAAACAAGGTGTGCTCTTCGTATTAGAAAACTTAAATAAAAAATAATCCATCATTTAGAGAATTAATATTTGCATATACAGGTGAATAAAATGAATACATGCACATACAATTAAACAAACAAACAAGAAATTGCCACTTTTTTAACGAAGATATCTGCAGAATATACTTTGAGAAACACTTCAACCCAGTATGAATGAAGCTGCTGCAAACATTGTAGTGAAAGAACGATAACACATTAAGGTGTTTTTATTGTGCGCAAAAAACACTTGTGAGGCTTTCATACTTGGAACTATATTAACGCCTTAAGGACACAACTTCTGGAATAAAAGGGAATCATGACAGAATATTTCCGTCATGTGTCCTTAAGGGGTTAAATCATACAGTGCTGTAGTTTGAAACTGGTTCTTTAGACATCAGACAAGAGAACTGCAAGTTTTGCAAGCTGTCATTAGATATACCCCAATGAAGAAATGCATAATTATGTGCATGCATGCTCTCATTTGGGTTATATCTACTAAGCAGGGATTTTTATTTATTGTGTATTTGGACTATGGAGTGTCCCTTTAACATATTGGCTGAGAACAATCATCTGACACACACAGCTGTTGGCTTTCTGTCTGCTGTAGTGGAGGCAGGGAGCAACACCTGGTGGACCACAGCGCCTGGCGGACTACAATTATTGATTTGATAACTTACAATAGAGAGGGACCAGGACATTTCTGGCACTAGAACCACTGTAGCACAATGTTATGGTTATGGAGTTTGGAGTGTTCCTTTAATGTCGAGTTTTACATCAATACAGCTACAATGTTAGTACAGTTGTGTAGATACTAAAATATCAGTAACATTTTCTAACGCTCCAAAAATCTGCTAAATAAAATAAAATGTAGAATTGTGGATATGTCGTCTTAACTTTAGTTTGCCTGAATATTTTTATATCATTAATGCCTTATTCCTTACTTACTTACATTTTAAGAAAGCCATCAAAACAACTGTATGAATTGGCTGATTATAATTTCCAGCTTTTTAAAAAAGCCAGAACATTTAGATATCATGCAGAGATGAAAATGTGTCCACGATGTTTGTTTATCATGATGATTCTGCAAAAATATAGAGCAAAAGTATTTTAGAATTTTGAATTATTAAATTGGGTCCACCAGGTGCCTACACTACAGCTCAGAGAGGGCAGGCATCTGTCAAAGGGAACAGAGGGCTATGCTGTGGATGTCCAAGCTTCCAGCATTGGCATTCTGGCCTCAGTCTCTGCTATAATTATTTAACAAGATGGCACTGTTGGCATCATTTATAGTCATGTGACACTCCACTTCCAGGAAGAGGCTGTCATTGTTAACAAAACACCCTATAAAAATCCATTCATTTGTTATTCTGAAGCTTTGACAAAAATTACCTAATATGCTACTCTTGTTCCTGATGCACTTCCTGCTCCCTTGTCCTTCCCTGCTCCCAGCATTATTGGATCTCCTGCCTCCTTACATTTGGTTGTTTAACTGTTTATGAACCATTGTGGTCTACCCTGACCTCGATT